CACGCGAAAGTTTCTCATGAGCACACGATAGTTTCTCGTGAGGACGCAAAATGTTTCTCGTGCACACGCGAAAGTTTCTCATGAGCACACGATAGTTTCACGTGAGGACGCAAAACGTTTCTCGTGCGCACGCGAAAGTTTCTCATGAGCATACGATAGTTTCTCGTGAGGACGCAAAATGTTTCTCGTGCACACGCGAAAGTTTCTCATGAGCACACGATAGTTTCTCGTGAGGACGCAAAACGTTTCTCGTGCACACGCGAAAGTTTCTCATGAGCATACGATAGTTTCTCGTGAGGACGCAAAATGTTTCTCGTGCACACGCGAAAGTTTCTCATGAGCACACGATAGTTTCACGTGAGGACGCAAAACGTTTCTCGTGCGCACGCGAAAGTTTCTCATGAGCACACGATAGTTTCTCGTGAGGACGCAAAACGTTTCTCGTGCACACGCGAAAGTTTCTCATGAGCATACGATAGTTTCTCGTGAGGACGCAAAATGTTTCTCGTGCACACGCGAAAGTTTCTCATGAGCACACGATAGTTTCTCGTGAGGACGCAAAACGGGCAGGACTAATCTGTGTTCCACATGGGCACATAACCAATCTGTGGGAGCCAGAATTCTTGCTGGTTGGTAGGGGATCAAATACTTATTTCACTCACTGAAATGCAAATCAATTTCTAACCTTTATATAATGTATTTGTTCTGGATTTTTTGGTTGCTATTCTGTCTCTATCCGTTAAAATAAACCTACCATAAAAATTACAGACCCTTCATTTCTTTGTAAGTGGGCAAACTTACAAAATCAGCAGGGGATCAAATAAATATTTCCCCCACTGTACCTACACCAGAAATTGAAACTGCGTGCGCACGCAAAATGTTTCTCGTGCGCACGCGAAAGTTTCTCATGAGCACACGATAGTTTCTCGTGAGGACGCAAAACGTTTCTCGTGCGCACGCGATAGTCTGTGTATTTTTTTTTGCAAAGGTCCCTTTAGGGGCTCCGTACTTTTGCTTTCATTTATATTTTGCAATTATTTATTTTTGTTTGCAAAACTTTTTTTTCGCAATACTTCATTTTCTTTTGCAATTCTTTATTTTTGTTTGCAAAAAGCACATTTATATTTTCTCAATCCTTTAATTTACTTTTGCAAAACTTTATTTTCTTTTGCAATACTTAAGATTCTTTTGCAAATATATGTGGCATCTAATTGACTCCATACTAAGGAGTTCAAAATATTGACAATAAACTCCCAAGATGTTTGTATCATAAACGAGGAAGAAACCTTGGTTGGGAGGAATATCCTCTCTCATGATACATTTTAGATACACGTATATTTATAATATTACATTATTTATAAATAAATAAATGAATAAATAATCGAAATGAATGAAACATCTTTTTCCGCCTCGTCGATGACCGCACAGGCCTGTAGGGGCGCTGTGGCGTCACTGCGCTCATAAGCGTCACTTCTTCTTCTCGTGGTGCTCCTGCGCTTTTCTGACCTCTGCAGACTGAGTGCGGTCCTGAACGCCAAGGAAATGGCTCCCCCGGTGCAAGTGTCGCCGCTGATTAAGGTTTGTATTCACAAATCCATTATGCTGGATGTTTATGACTGAGATTAAACGAAGAAAGGCGTCTCTTTCCCTCATTTCCGTCGTGCTTCTCTCAGAAGTCAGAGCGGACTGTGATGTGTTGACATGGCCTGAATGCTGAAAGTCAAGATATTTCCTTAATTTTCTGTTAATAAAACAGAATTATGGATATTAATGAGATTTCTTTTGTCTTTCAGACAGCCAGATGGTCTGCATTGATCGTTGGTATTATCTACGGAAAGCGCAGATATGGTAAGAACCAGCAAGTTGATCTGAAACATTGTGACTGGCGTTCAAATGACATTCTGGGTTTCAAGGTAAATTATTGCGTCATCAGATAAACAGTCCGAAATTACATATAAAAAAATTTAACTGTGTTCAGATAATTTACATGTTGGTCAAACCAATGTCATGCTGTCCTAGTGAGCTTTTTTTTTTTTTAATCAAAATAAGATACAAAGTGAACTATATTGTATGTGGAAAGTCATAAGTCGGTCTAATCAAGACTACCGGTTCTCCGAATATTTCTCAGTGACAGAATATTCTCCATTTCTTCCCCAGTAATCCACGGCTCTTACTCTATAGTATCCGCTCACCTCCAGACTCTCTGTGGAGAGAAAAACACCAGCAGGTCAATGTATGGATCAGTGCCTGAAGTTAAATATTCTGAATGTAGCCCAAATAATACCTGGAGAAAAAGTGAAGTATGTGAAAATAGTCTCTCTCTGATTAATCCTCTGGAAAGTCGTCTCATCTTTGGAAAATTCCACTTCGTATGTCTTTATACACCTAAAAATGACATGTCAATTATGTTTAGAACTCTTAAATGAAGAATTAATTTAATTGCTGCATTTAATCAGGTATTACTTTGTTGCGATGGAGTGATCCTTCCAAATGATCAGAACCTGTCCTTTGGTGATGGTGATGAAACGCACCACGTTTACCTGCGGAATGATAACTGCGATATTAAAACCAAACCACACAGTTTCTCAATCTTTGCAGAAAATAGCATGCACCTGGAATGCAGAAGTTTTGCAATGACACTGTCAAATTAATTTCATGCACAGACACAAATAGATTTTTTTGGGTGTAGAGGAACAGCAGATGCCATGAATTCACCCCATATCATGAATGAATGAATGAATCATTACTGATACTGAACTCAAGGGTTGTGTCCAAATCCTGAAAACCTGTGCCTTACTACGCTTTGTGAGGTTCATGCTGGGATGCCTTTAGACAGTAGCTCACATACAGTATCTCACAGAATACAGCAAATTTACACTGTTATACAAGCTGTACACTCACTACTTTACATTGTAGCAAAGTGTCATTTCTTCAGTGTTGTCACATGAAAAGATGTAATAAAATATTTACAAAAATGTGAGGGGTGTACTCACTTCTGTGAAATACTGTATATGCTGGAGACTTGTTTTGAAAATTTAAGAAGAACTTCATACATCAATACAATTTAGATTTGTCTACAAAACTATTTTTTAAAGGAATAGTTGACCCAAAAATGAAAATCAGCTGAAAATGTACTCGCCATCAGGCCATCCAAGATGTAGATGAGTTTGATTCTTCATCAGAATGGATTTGGAGCAATGTAGTATTACATCACTTGCTCAGCAATGGATCCTCTGCAGTGAATGGGTGCCGTCAGAATGAGAGTCCATTGCCTGTTGTCCTCTCACATCAAAATCCACAGTGCTTGATCTGTGCATAATTCTCTCCTAATTCAGATGAGGTGACTTTTTCACTGGAGAAAAGAATAGGATAGAGAACTCATATTTTAACCAAAAGCAACTGTCTGAACTTTAAAAAGTCTCAAAGATGGATTTGTTTCTAACAAACATGCAGCCTTTCAATGCACAAGATGTTAATTGATGGACTGGAGTCGTGTGGATTATTGTGATGTTTTTATCAGCTGTTTGGACTCATTCTGACGGCACCCATTCACTGCAGAGGATCCATTGGTGAGCAAGTGTTCTGATGAAGAAACAAACTCATCTACATCCTGGATGACCTGAGGATGTGTACATTTTCAGCTAATTGTCTTTTTTGGGTGAACTATTCCTTTAAGTATTTCAGCATCAGCCTTTTTAAAGGTTTTTTAAATCCTGAGAAACATAAATTCAGTCACGTGTGTCCAAACCTCTGATTGGTAATGTAACCTTCTGGTGCCACATGCATCTAAAGTGAGACGGCTGTAATATTATTGCTACGTCATATTACCACTAACCTGGTTGGGCACTTCCTTAGACTGAGCACAAACGTGTACAAGCAGCACTGAGGGGACAGGAAGGGTAGCCTTCAGCTTCAGAGAGCCATCGGATGGGACCGGCAGAGGCCCATCAGTCTGTGGATCCTACAGCATACACATTAAAGACTTCATAAGACGAAAAAAAAAGTATTTTTCTAGCTGTTTTGTACATACTCATTCAATCTCAGCTGAACAAAAACAACAGCTCATGAGCTCATTAACATATGGACACCCAAATGAGAAACAAACAGAAGTCTTAAAGGTATATTAGCAAAAAGCAGCCCGTTTAAAACTCAAGCGGTCATGAAAAAAACTGTTTTGGGTGCAAGAAACCTTAAGTAACATTATAAAAAGTGAACTTGAAGGAAAAATTAAATGCTCATTATCTATAAAAGTGTGTTGTGAAGAAGTATGAATGCGTGTGTGTTGAACCTCTTGGCTCCGTAGCTGTGTGAACTGTTGTGCAGTGGGATAGTCAGGGCTGCCCATGTTCTCCCACAGTTTAAATGGGTTTGTCACGTTATTATCCATGTAGTGTGTCACATACATCAGACCTACAAACACAGACAGGATAGAACTGTAAATACAAGCATATTCTGTTCTATTCGATTCTACATTCTTAAGAAAATATAATATATGAATATAAACATATTTTCATTTATTTTCCGTTCTTTAATTCCTTTTTTTAAAAACAAGTTAGTTTTTTTTAATAAGGTGCTGGTTTGTAGTTACTGACCCTTACGCTGAGGTATTCCAGTGAGGCGCAGGGTGATGATGTCTGCGGTGGAGGAGGTCTGGTTATCTCTGCTGTTATACAGCAGGACGGTGGTCTGCCAGCTATCGGCTGTGTTCGGCACCTGAGGGACGTGAACGGTGGCTAGCGCACCCACTGATGAATTCACTTCAGAGCCGTCAGTCAACACCTCAGCCTGCACCTGAGTCTCACCTGAATGAATGTGAGAATATCACAAACAATACCTAACAATTATACACTATGCGTTATAGTGGTAGTTGATATAAGATACCTATATTTTATTAAAGGGGTCCTGTTATGCTTTTTCACTTTTTCAACTTTAGTTAGTCTGTAATGTTGCTGTTTGAGCATAAAAAAGATCTACAAAGTTCAAAGTCCACTGCAAACGGAGATATTTTATTTAACAGAAATCACTTTTCAAAAACTACAACGAACGACTCGTTTGGACTACAACACGTATTTTCCGGGATCTGTGATATCACAAAGATCGACGAATGGGACGAGACCTGGTTGAGCTGCACTAGAGAAGGCAACGAGTGTTATCACTATGTCGAAGACACGCCAGTTTTCCCAAGGCAGACGAACTTAAAGTGCTTACAATCATCCGGGTTTAAATCGCGCTCAAATTGATTTGATTTTGACGCAATATTTACACTGAAGATCGCAGGCGGCTATGGTAAGGGGCATGACATTTCCTGACCAGGCGCCGAGTGCTGCCAATCACAACACACTCTAACCCAGCTAACCAATCACAACTGGCCCAGCTAACCAATCACAACACACACTGGCCCAGCTAACCAATCACAGCACATTTCGTATTTCAGAAGGCGGGCCTTCATTTGATACAGGAACTATTCGAGCCGTTCATGCCAGACTGGGGAGAGAGGTGTTGTAATAATGTAAAAT